CAGTGGGGCTGGAGAGGAAGCACAGGGCACTGCCAGCAGCCACAGCTGGGCTCAGCCAGCACAGGGACATGCTCCATGTATGTGCCAGGTCTGTGCTGCAGGAGCTGGGGCAGCAGTGGGGCTGGGGAGGAAACACAGGGCACTGCCAGCAGCTGGGCTGGGCACAAGGACATGCTCCATGGGGAGGAAGCACAGGTCAGTGCCACAGCCACAGCTGGGCTCAGCACAAGGAGATGCCCCCATCTGTGCTGCAGGAGCTGGGCAGCAGCAGGGTGCCACAGGCTGGCTGGGGCTCTGTGGCAGCTGTTTCCTGCCTGGCTGCTGGCTAACACTGTGGGTGGCTCTCAGGGACAAGGTGTGGCACAGGGTCAGGCACAGACTCCTGGTGCTGCATGCAGCAGAGAACAAGCACTGGGTACGTGCATGGGTGGCAGAGGTAAGCAGGACAGCTGCACCAGTATGGTGCCTGGCTGAAATGGGAAGGGAACAGAAGAACACAGCAAGGAGAGCATCACACTCACATGTGCAGTGGGTGAGGTTGGGGGTGCTGGCGTGGAAGGGCCCAGCTGTGGCCCTCACTGCCACGCTGTACCGGGTGCCAGGGCTCAGTTTCCTCAGGATGTGGCTCCTGGCATGACCACCCAGCAGTGTGTGCCCCACAGAAGTGCCAGATGCTGTCTCATGGGCATCCACCACGAAGCCTTCTGCCCCTCGGCCCAGCACTGCCCAGGTCACCACCAGGGCTGAGGCTGAGGGGCTGCTCAGGGTGAGGTTCACAGGGGCCAGGGGATCTGAAAAGCAACAGGGAGACAGACAGTGAGCCCTCCTGCTCAGTGCTGAGAGCTGTGCCCAGGGCTCCTCCAGGCAGGCTGGACCAGAGCTCCTCTGGAGAGAAGCCTGGGCACAAAGGGCCAGACAGGGCACATGGTTTTGGGAGTATCATCCCTGGGGTGGGCTGCTGGATGTGGCAGGGGAGATAACCAGAGCCTCTGGGGTGGATTGGGGACTGGCTCTGTGTCCAGGATGGAGTGAGGGCAGTGAGCAGAAGGGTGGGACCATCACACAGAAGCTTTGGGCACAGCTTGGGATGGGGAAGGTGGCAGTGGCGCTCTGGAAAGATCAGGTAGAGGCTCACAGTGGGGTGCCCAACCCAGGCAGTCAGACTCACATGTCCATTGGGTGACGTTGATGGAAGAGGCTTCTAAGGAGCCTTTCACAGCAGTGACCTGCACAGCAAACTTGCTGCCTGCTTCCAGCTGAGTCCAGCTGGTGTTCAGGGCATCTGGACTCAAGGTCTGGACCTGAATCCTGCTCTGGGTGCTGAGGCTGTACAGGGTAACATGGTAGTGGTCCCTCCTGCCTGGGGGCTCGTTCCAGGATGTGTAAAGCTCTGAGGAGCTGCCTGGGTTGGTAAGGCTCAGGTTTGCAGGTGCAGCAGGAACTGTGAGGAAAAACAAAACACACGAGTCAGAGAGGAAAAAATACACTTCTGAACATGCAGCCATCTTCATACACGGAGACTGTGAGAGGCAGGAAATGA